AACCACCGATGGTAGATTATTATGGGGGGGGGGGCGAGCTTATATATATATATATACATATATATATATATATACATATATATATATATATACAAATATATATATATATATATATATGACTTCACAGCGGCGAGGCCTCTTTCGCAGAGGCCGTTGCAGCCGGCAGCTTGACCAAAGGCCGCCTGGAAAGCCGCTTGGGAGGAAGCTGGGGGCGTTTGAACGGCGGGGTGTAGAAGGGGGTCAGGGCGACAGCATGTTAGTGTGTTGGGCTGACGAACTTGCAAAGTTGCTGAAGCGGATCTCCAGCGACGCGAGGCTGAGGGTGTCCGTTTTGGGGTTGAGGCAAGGCGTGAGTAAAGCACGTGCGGTTAGGGATGCCAACAGTCGATGAAATCGACACATCCCTCGAACAAAAATTTTGCCACAGCTGCTGAGTGATGTCCGCCAGCAGTGGTGCCAAGTTGAGGCGATCCTGGCGGCTGAAATCAGGGCCTTGACGATTGGAAACGGGTGTGCGACATTCATTTCTAGCTTGGCGTCATAGGCCAGTTTGATGATAGCGCCTAAACTGAGTCGCTTGATGCATGATGCATGCTCTCGCAAAAACCGACGAAAAATGCTGGAGTGACTTTGATGGCCAGATGCTCGGGCCCGAAACACGTCAGCTCAATGAGGCTCAACCCTCAAGCTCAGACAGATTCATACAACACACGATGTGTCAATTCGCAATCACGATTCTGGCTCTAAACAACTGGAGATAGCAGCCACCATCTACTAGTGCATGGTCATGTTTTCAACTTCTGCTACTAGAATAACTTCGAATCTGTAATTCAACAGTTAAATTTAACATGAGCCTTCCCAACCCGCGACCTGGTCCACAGCATTAAACCCCTCGACCCCCCCTCCCCCTAACCAAAATAAAACTCCACAAGCCAGACACCCATTAATCGCCAAACACCAAACCCGATAGCCTAAACTTAGCCCAGAACCTTAAAGCCCACAGTCGTGTGTCGTGAGGTCTTTCGCAGGCCATTTCGTCGGCAAGATGCAGAAACAAGTGCAGCCATGCAATAAGTTGAAATGCTTCATACACTGCAGCCACAAACAGCAGCCAGGTCAAAACACAGCTACCTTGGCGGAAGCCTGGTTGACTGCATGTTACAAGCTAGAAGAGGCATGGTTTGGAGAGAGGGCCGGTGTTCCTGCCTAACTCAACCGAACCGCGTACACCAACTTCGGAGTTGGAGCCTACTGCACACTGCTACGGAAAGATCCCTCAAGCTTAAACTCGAAGCCTAGCCAGCACCTCACAAGTATCCCTTAATAGAGCCCTCATGGTCCTTACTAGTGGGTACTTCAGGTATAATAGAGGGTACTGTAGTTGGGGGGGTGCCGGATAGCTACTAAACTTAACACTTCGGCCCTAAGTCCCTGCGCCCTAGAATGGCTGTCCTGCCAGGCTCGCTGTCGCAGCTCAGAAACCCACTGGAAGCAGGGCACACAGCGCTGGAATCGTGCCTTATCCGGCTACGGCTTAGGGTGGGGGGACCCGTGAGCCAGAAGTAGGATTAAGGGGCCCCTTTAAGGGTCTCCCTAATACTATCTAGGACATTGGGGTGTCTTGCTTTCTCCTCGCCGAGCCCTTGAAGTTTTGGATCGGGAGTCAGTTCAAGCCTGAACTGAAGCCCTGAACTTTTGAAGGATCTTCTATGGATCCTACTTTGGATCCGAAGATTAAGGCCAATCAAGAAGGGGACTTGACAACCTGAGACTCGACCCACCCAGACAGCTCGAAGTCATATCTGCAGTTGGCGCACCAGCGTTGCCACTCGGCCGAACGGCGTTGGCCCGTAGATGCACCAGCTCGTCTTGTTGCAGCCTTGGGCTCCATTGCAAACAGAACAGCCTTGGGAGAACAACTGACATGCTACGATAGTGCATGTACGCAGGCTGTAAGGGAATGCTTATATCGGATCGTTCACAGAACTATTAAAAAGTGTGGTATAAACAAACCGCCGCAACGGCGGTCTAACAAGACGCCGAGCAATATCACACGCAATATCAGCATTGGCCCCATAAAGTCTACGTTTCTGGAAGGCTTCTGTGGATTTGCACTTTTGGAACAGGGGCCTACCGGCAGATCTGCGAACTTTTGTTTACAACGTTAACCGCGAACCTATGAGAAGCCAAGGTTTTGGCTTTAGTGCCGAGTTCCTTTGGGTCCTTTAAAAAGTTGGGAGCAGACTCCTGGCTCTCAGGTGCCGCAGCCTTGAAGCAAGCCCTGCAACACTCCGAAGCCCCCAAAGGGCCGCGCATTTCTGCACCTTACCTCACCCTTACAACCCTCGCCCCGGAGAAATTAGGAAGACCAGAACACCCCAACCCCATGGAGCACATAATGCACTGGCCTTCATAGTTAGATTACATTAGAATAGGGTGTTGGGGGTATATTATACTATATCTAGAATAAGGAAGGTAATTTCTTAAGGCCCCCTGTACTATTATACCTTTATGTATCACAAGGAACCCCCCAAAAGAGTGTAGGTAATTACTAAGGCCCCCTGTTTTCGGCCCCTCGAGACTCCAGAGCCAGCTCAGGAAGGTTTTGGGGGTATATTAATCTACTGTATTCTTATAATAAGGCACCCCCCCCCCCC